GGGCTTACACTAGGGGATGAGGGGTGAGTCTTACTGTCGCAATAGAGAGTTTTGCGTTTGAGATTTGAAGGGCGTGATTTTCGGGGGTGGGAGAGTGGCGCCGAAAGGAACACGAAAATTCACAGTCGCATGAAGTCAAGTATTTGTAACTTACCATTAAGTCGAGCAGGCGATCGCTGATCATTTTTATGTCTTGATTTCGAAGAACCAGATCATTCTTTAAGCTAGTGGAAACAAAGATCGAGTGTCAAAAGTAATTGGTTTTGTAGTTACTATACTTAGTGATGAGTTTATGAGAAGAAAATCGCGCCACTTTCTCGACGTCAAATCAAAGGTTAATTATAAACCAAAACCAATCGTAACTGATTTGTAGACGTTTTCCTGCGCATCTATTCGCCGGCTGTATGAATTTGCTTTGAGTCCTTGATTTTGGTTTTACGACGAGCTATTCAAAGCCACTCTACTTTACATGATCAGCAACAATAAGAAAGACTGACGGTTAATGTTCCACTCAACTGATTAAAGAGGCTATGTCACGATGCTTATGTCGTTGTTCAGATGTACAAAATTACAAGTAAGTATGATAAATGAAACATAAACGTAACACGGATGACTGCGACTCGGGTGATAAAGACGGATTACAAAAACAATGGCAAATTTTTTCAAGACGCACTTGCTCTCTGCTATACTCGTGAATCTTCACCTTGCAAAGGCTACTTAAACCATTCACTTGCTGCCACAACCCTCATCTAGCATCATCCGGCAGCAACTGCTGCTAGCAGCACCATGAATAGTAATTCGGTTGATATTCCGCAACCGAATAGTTTCTGGTCAACCAGCACGTTAGCTGTGGTGCTGCCAGACGCGTCACAAAATCCTAACGGTGAAGGTTGAGGGTCTAACATAGGTTCTTTCAATCCCGCATCCCGCCACTATTTTTGCCTCAATCCCTGGCGCCATCCCGCCCCAGTCATAACGTTTATCCCGATCCCAACTGGTTCCTGGTTCTCCGCGTAACGTCCGTGGTCCGTGACGTGTGACTTTCTGTTTTCCGGCACCCAGCCATCAATATTAAAACTATCCCGCATCCCGCTTGCCAAAATGAACAAATCCCGCTCCCTAGCAAATTTCTGAAATTTCTGAAATTTTTTAAATTTCTGTCATCCCGAACCTCGCCTCCATTTTCAATCTTATCCCGTATCCCGCCAAACCTATGTTGGACACCCTTGATTGTCTGTGACGCAGTTTACTCTATGTATGTTCTTTGCTATTCTTTCCTCTTATCTTGGACTTAACTCGTGCACCTCACCTCTCAAGNTTACTATACTTAGTGATGAGTTTATGAAAAGAAAATCGCGCCATTTTCTTGACGTCAAATCAAAGGTTAATTATAAACCAAAACCAATCGTAACTGATTTGCAGACGTTTTCCTGCGCATCTATTCCTGCCCATCTATTGGACACCCTTGATTGTCTGTGACGCAGTCTACTCTATGTATGTTCTTTGCTATTCTTTCCTCTTATCTTGGACTTAACTCGTGCACCTCACCTCTCAAGCTTTGCTAACGCAGCTCGCTTCTGTTTCTGGATCTTCAAACTTTCTTGCTCAGATGTGTCTAGAACTCTGTAAAAAAATGTACCCTGAAGATTGAGTGTTTCTGCTGGTCGTAACCTGTAGTCTTCAGAACTTCGATAAGAGTGAAATGCAAAGCTTAACCTCTACAGTGGCATGTTATTTTTGCTAGTATTTACCTTTGATAGTGGTTGTTTAAAGTCTTCGTGGTCTTTTTACATTCTCTTATCACCTGTTTATATGTAGGCGCTGGCGTTCTTTTAAAAGTGTTAAGGTTGCAACACGAACAAGTATATTTTAAGCTACATGCTCAAAGGCAAAACAATTCAGGGAAATGGGCGATAGCAGAAGGAAGGTATTCAAGTTTACTGCAAGTTACGTTGCCTTTATTGTAGGCTCGATTTCCGCTGCTTTCTCGGGTCCGAAAAGCGCGGACTCATTACCAGAAACAGCGGTTGGTAATAGGGCCTACCTTAATTCAATCTAACTATGGACAAACGTGGAAAACTAACTGCGTGCTTTACAAATTGAAGGATGATTCAGATTTTTTTACCCTCCGTCCTGATCATGCGAAATGGCGGTGCTGAGTGATTCTACTCCACCGAAGTCAAAAATTTTTTCTTTACCTCGTGTGGTCCGCCGTTTCCTTTCTAGAGTTAACGNCCCTTCCACAGAGTAGATCAAAGGATACTGTAGTTTAACGACTTCAGTACGTCCTACAGACTGAACAGGTTCCTGTTCTTTTCCCATCAGTTCTCTGGTGCGAAGATAATGCGCTACTAAGGGACTCCTCCCCAGAAGATTAAAACCGACCCGTTCAAACTCGGGGCCTGGGCCGATTTCATGTGACTGTGGAAAAAAAATTGCAGATGGTAACAAATATGATACAAAATCGATTAATTATAGATGAAAAAAAAAAAAAAAAAAAATTAGAAAGAAAATAGACCATGAATTAGATAGGCAACAGACCGACCGACCGTGTCTGACTTCAAGTCTGTGAGTGAGTGTAGGTTGCGCTCATAACTGTAAAAATTCCACAATCGTTAAATAAATATCATAGGTTTTGAAGCATCCTGTAACGACATGAGATACAAAACAAGCTTTCCACTTAGACGATTTTATTCAGAAGAAGTTACATCTCTGTTTTATGAAACGGTTAACTTATATATGACACGTCCGTGGACGTATATTCGTGGGATGGGGGACCGGAGGGTCATCAATGGAAGAATTTGGAAGTGTGTCTGAGATTTAAGGTACAACGAAGAGCAGGAACCTTGCAACATGACTATATGGAGTATGTTCTAAAAGTGAAGTTCTCAAACTCATTAATAATTCATCAAGTTTAAAAACAAAAACTCATGACCTTGACAGTGTTTGGATATCTGATCTTAATTAACTAGTATAGATTTTTACGATTTTGTCTCTCCGCTTTCTCCTTTAATAGTTTTAGTGTCGATTGAGAAGATATATCAAACTCTCAAGACAGTGTTCAACCTCATTTCCAAACACCTCGAAGCTCGTCAAAATTACTCCGCTACGCGTCGTATTTTCATTAACACTCTTCTCAGTGTTTGGAAATGTGGTCAAACACTGTCTTGAGTATTTGATACATCACTTACCTCTGTACTGTCAAATGAAGGGATGATAGTCAGTCCCATTCTAGAGGGTGAATATTGAGTTGTGTATGTCACAGCTCTCTCTTTACTGGCTGGGACGCTGTACTCATCCAGACAAGCGTCCAGATCAAAGGTCATGTTCGCTAAAAACAAACAAACGAACG